GTTACACTGCATCTGATCCACAGCTACCACATTGCAACTGGCAGTGGTGACAACACCTGCAAAGTGTGGGACCTTCGGCAGCGGCGCTGCATCTATACCATCCCTGCGCATCAGAACTTAGTGACTGGTGTCAAGTTTGAGCGTAAGCTTTCCTCCAGTTTTATAATCATGAAAAAGACAGGTTGCACTTTCATGGGATGCAGGCCAGGCGTTAGCTTAGCTTGGACATGGAACAGGAGAGAGTTTGGATTCTGTTGAAGCAGATTATAATTTCCTTCCCTCTACCCTACTTTCAGAGAGAACTGTGGCACAGCATGCTTCTTGTTGCTAGGAAGTGAACAACGCTTCGTGAATGCTGTGCTACATCTTTTTCTCCATGGAAATCCCGAGTACCGAATCCTTAATATTATTCTGAGCAGGTTGTCAAAAGAGCCAAAAAACCTTAATAATGTTATTTATTTCCCTAAGTCTCCCTGTAGTTGTCCCTTTTTCCTGGAGACCTAGTAGAAATATAGATCAGAGTGTTGGGTTTTTCTGAATGGAGAAATACCTTCTTTTTCAAAATAGTATGTTCTAGAAGATTTTTGTGCTTTTATTTTCTTATGCTCTTTTGAATACTTGAATTCTTTAAGCAGCTCCCCTTTTTTCCTCTTGTAGCTATCCATGGGAATTTCTTGCTCACTGGTGCCTATGACAACACAGCCAAGATCTGGACCCACCCGGGCTGGTCCCCACTGAAGACTTTGGCTGGCCATGAAGGCAAAGTGATGGGTCTAGACATTTCATCCGATGGGCAGCTTATAGCCACTTGCTCATATGATAGGACCTTCAAGCTCTGGATGGCTGAGTAGGCATGACCATAGGAAAAAGACTCAAACCTCAAGCTCTCCCTTAAGAGCCATTTTCAAAAGAAAGGAGTTGTGTTTTGTTCTATCATGTTTGTTGCCAATTACCATGGATAGACCCTCAGTAGATTGGATTTCCATGTCAGCCCCACTCCAGGCAGGCAGCCCAGTTCCTGGATGTTGGCGAACCCCTTTCATGCTTGAATTTTAATTTCATCTTCAAGCCCTGCCAGTAACTGTAGACTATGTTTTTATTAGCCTTTTGTTTGAATACCTTGTTGCCTTCGTCACAGCACTCAGAATTGTGGCTGGCTCCATTTTTAATTCTTGAAACTTGGCTTTCCTATACATGGCACGTGCTTCAGGACTACATGTGACCCAGAGAGCAAGTTGGCTGGACTGTGGTCTGGGAGCCCTCGAGGAAAGAGGCCCATCTCACCTCACACTGGTTAAGTAATGCCTGACAGCGAGAACCTCTCCTCTGCCTCGAGAGTGGGAGGTGAAGAGGCAGACCCACAGCTACGCTCAGGGTTATGCGGTAAAGAAGATTTCACCACCTCCTTTTGGCTTCGCTGGGAATGTTACCTGCATCAGGGAGCGTCAGGAAGCTCAGAACTGAACATTTGCCTTGTTGGAAAATGTATTCCATTTTTCTTTGAAGTTTGGTATCCTTCATGTCATTGAAGGCCATTGTGTCAAGATTCAATGACATTTTTAGAAAGCTAACATGATGTCTATTGTGCAACCTCCTTTTTATTGGTTATTTAAAGGATATACCCTTCATGTCGAGGTAACTCTGGAAAAAATCCCCAATGGGTATTCCTAAACATAAACTTTTTTCTTTATTACATACTTGCTACAGAGTAAAATCCTATTATAAAAACTGTCCTTCAAAGAATTATTTTGTGTAGTTAAGTCTTTTGTGAATCCCAGTCTTTGGTCCATTGAGGTCCCTGTATTTTGGTTTGAGATATAATAGATGATCTCAGAAATAGGATTACTCCAATTCCTGTCTCCTTCATAAGCACTGTTAATAATTTTAAAAAAATAGAGGGCTATTTTATTGTGGGCAAGACCACCAGTGAACTATATCTGGACTCTCTAATCCTTATTTGTTGGCTCTCCAGCAGTGACCTTCACCTTTCCCATCCCAGATATATAATCAATGAACTCTGAAAGTACACAGTAAATTCATACAAAAATACAGGAATTTAGAAGAAGAAAGGATTGTATATTAGAAATCCAAGGGGGGCTTATATGATGGCTTCTAGAAGTGTTAAACACACTTTCTACTTCTGTTCCAGAGGGACTTGTCTAGCTCTGTTCTTCAGACTGTGGCTGTGTGATATGTAGCTGAGTATTTTGTTTAATCTGGTTTCGGTTATAACCAAGTTGTTGCATATCCCATGTACCTGTTCAGCTTCTGAATTCGCAGCCCTGCTCACTATTGTTTAAGTATTAGTGGACACTTTCCTCCATAGTTGGCCGTGAAGAAAAATTCTTTTCATTACTACCTTTGTGTAAACTAATAATGGACATTAGTGTATTAGCTTGCAGTTTGTGTTAAGGTTTTTTAGTTCTTCAAGTTTAAGTTTTACTATTTTGTTAACCTCTTTGGGGGTGGGGGTCCAAGAGATTTAGAGGTAGCAACTGGGTGAAAACATTTTATCTAAGTCTTTGGCAAAACAAGTGTCTTGTAGAATGTACATTTCACTGGAAATACCAGTGAAAGAAAGCGGTTAACTGAGGCGCATAAACCAAGTGTGGTGTGTTAGGATAATGGTGAGATAAATATAGCCACTGCTTACCAGACCCTTACTCTCTAGCTAGATGTGCCAGGCACATTCAGACATCTCACTCAATCCTCCAACTTGTAGGGGTTACTTTACAGACAAAGCTGAAGCAAAGTTAAGTGACTTGCTCAAGGTTACCCAGTTAGTAAGCGGTGGATCCTGGGCTGTCTGTGTTGACCTTATGAAGAGGCTTCACAGGGTTTTACTGAATATGTTGGCAACACTGGCCAGATAAAAAGATCAGCCTGGCCAGCGTGACCTTGTGCAGGGCTTTTTAACCGCTCTACCTTCTGTACTGTTTTGGCAAGTCACTGCATCTCTCCCTCTGACTTCATGCCAAAGGGAGTTAATACTTCCACTGCTTCTACCTCATGAACCTCTGAGCCGAGCGTGCTGTCCAACGGGAAACTACTTGCATTTTGAGACAGAGGATTATTTTGCTGTGTGGAACTACCTGTGGCATTGTAGATGTCTGGGCTCTGGAGTTCTAAATGCCAGGAGCACAACCCCCCCACACACCACCACTTTATCAGTCTACCAAAGAGTCCCAGACACTTCCAGGTGCCCCCTAGGAGGATGCCATTGCCTCAAGGTTAGAACTGCTGACTGTGAGAATAGGAGACACTTAAATGTTTCCCTATCCAAAAAATTCAAACCAATGTCTTATTTGGATGGCGGATAAGCCACTTCAAGAGTATAGGTCATTTCAACTGAAAGTCCACAACTTACTAGCTGCGTGACCTTAAACAAGGCAGCTAAGCTTGTGGAGCGCAGTTTGCTCTATGAATGGGGAGAGGAGACCATAGTGCAGAGGCAGGTGTTCCTGAGCTTCCCCCAGCTCCTCGCCCTGTTCCTCCTGGCTCTGAGAACAGCATGAGCTCATTGCCTAACTTACCCACCACAAGGTTAAGGAGCAAGGACGTGTAAAGAAATGAAGCCGGTGGGGAGAGCTCGAGTTCCAGCTTTGCTGTAATGAATGGTCTTGGATGGCACAAACGGAGAGGTAGGTACTAGTCCCCTGGTGAGATACATTGGTGACTTTCCAGTTTCGTAATGGAGAACATCTTTTCACTTTTTCTTCACATCTAAGACTGTTTGGGTTTACTAAGTGTGAAATACAGGTCTTGGCTATTTTGGAATATCTTGTACATTAAGGCCCCCTAAAAATTTATAGAAGTTAATTCCATTAAACTCACAAAATGTCTAGAGCAAATAAACCAACTCAATTTCAAACCTCTGAAAGCTTAATTTACAAATAACCCCTCAAAATGTTCTCTTTTCATAATTGTGATGGTGTTTTAACCAGTTTGAGGTTGTTTTAGAGCCCTGAGCCACCAGGCAATAAAAACTAGGGAAGCAGAAATCAGGTTTTTAGACATTGTAGGGGTGGCAACTTTTAGGCAAGCGGTAGGCTGAATATCCAAATTTTACCTACTTTTCTTTGGTTCCTAGATTCTGTCATGTAAAATAAAAACCAATGTCCCCTGCCTGCACAGCCTGGGATGGAAGCCAAGGCTTTTACTCTGTCAGGGTTTCTGCCTTACCTGTCAAGGCCAGAATTTCAGTGCTTGGTGGAGGGGGGCCAGCTGCACCCTGCACCCAGTCTTCTCATCAGGGTCTCTGTACCTACCGGGAGGAATAAACCTTTTCTTCCAAATCCCAGATTTCTTTTGATCCACTGACCCTGCCTGCATTCACCTTTAAACTTTCAGACTCTAACCCTCCATAGAACACATACCCACAAGAGGTTCCCTTCTACTAGAGGCAGCTAATGAACACGCCCTCCCTGCTGGTCAGGGCTCTGCCCGCCCTGGGTAGCCTTACCCTTTTCTCTCCCTAGTTCTGACAGCATCAGCCAAACAAATGGTGGTTGAATAAATGAATGAACACAGACCATTTTTACTGGGACTGGTGGCCAGATAGAGAAAACCACAAGGAGGAGACACATTTGCTCACAGGATTGAAGCTCACTTTCCAAATACTGAGCAACACAATAAAAAGTGACAAAGTGTGAGTTCAAAGCTCCAGTGAGAAATGAGCTTGCTATTTGGGGTGGTCAGGTTCCTAGAGAGAATTGTCCTGCCCTTTGGCACAACTTGCTCTGTGATCCCAGATCTGCTTCTCTGCCCCTTCTGTGACACTGTGGCTCACACACAGGTCTTGCATATTTTCCAAGCCCTTTAGCTTTCAGGGGTTCTCATCATAGTAAGACTTTGTTCCCAGAATCAAACACATGCCCAACTGATCGTGGATTGTAAAAAATGAACACTCACTACCATGAAGAAAGACAGCCACACGAGCCCTGCAGTCCCCACATCCAGCAGCAGCTGAGGGAGGCTTGGGTCCTCGTCTGAACAGATGCTCACCCCATCCAGAGGAACTGCTTGGTCCAAAAGATGGAGAAGACGAGCAGCAGAGTGATGCTGAGGATGACAGCCATCAGGTAGGCAAAGATCCGGAACTGAGGGTTGTGGAAACACTCTCTCAGGGAGCAGTGGCTGTGGATGGGACTGGGCAGAGGCCTGATGGTGGGGGCCGCGGCCTGGGGGGCCTCAGTCCGGCCCCCGGGCCCGGGGCGTAGGTCCAGCGTGTAGACCGGGGGCTGGCGCAGGAAGTAGCGGCTCTTGGGCTGGTCCTTGAGACAGAGCTGATGACCTTCCAGGATGACGTGCTGGGGCTCCAGGCGGAGCAGGGTGAGCATGGCAGTATCCGTGGGCAAGTCCGTGACAGGCCGCCCGGAGGCCAGCACAGTGGGCTGGCGACAGAGCGGGCACAGCAGCGGTCGTGGGGCTGGAGTCACCAGGCTGAGGTGGGCCAGGCATTGCACGCACAAGGAGTGGCAGCAGTCCAGCACTTTGGGGGTGTGGAACACGTTGTTGAAGGGGTTCCAGCAGACAGGGCACTCAGGCTCCTGGCCCTGCTGCTCGGCCATCCTCAAGCCAGACGCAGGAGGCCTGCCAAGAACGTCCGGGCAGGAAGAGAAAGGAAGCAAAGGAACACTTATTAAGCTCTGTCCCCGTGCCTGGTCCTAGGCTAAGCGGTCCGTGGGTTGTTAAAAAGTATTATCATCCACATATCACAGATGAAAAAACTTAGGTTCAAAAAGATGAAGCGATTTGTTCCAGATCACCCAGTCCTAAGCCGTAGAGTTAAGCCTGGTGCTCCGGGGTGAAGGCCTGAGTGCCCGCTACTAACGAGCTGCCACTGGCGGAGACTGCACCCCAGCTTTGGCAATGGTTAAAAATGGTCCTTATGCTCCAGGCGCTGGCCCTTGGCTTCTCAGACTCCACAAAGAGGGAGGGGAGCCACCGTCAGTGATACTAGAGCAAGGACTTCCTTCCCGGTGGCTGAGATGGGCTTTGTGAATTCCCCAGCCTCCCCCCTCTGGGAATAAATGCCGGGCCTTCTTTCCCTCCTCCCACGCTGGGCTCTAAGGCCCACCCTCCAGGGCCCATCTGCCCCGCTTTTGTTCAGGGCACAGGCAAGGGGGCCCCTCAAGGCTTTCCCCTTGACCAGGAAGCTGGGAGGCTCCGGGCGCAGGTTCCCGGGGCAGCCCTTCCAGGGCCTCCTCCCAATTCTTGGCCTCCCCAGCTCCTCCTCCCTCCCTTTGTCCCAGAAAACCCCCAGGGCACCTACCTGGGCTTCAGTTGGCACCAGAGCGGTCAGCAGAGGACCCTGAAGGGCCTGAGGCTTCGGCCTGTCCCCTTCCTGAATCCACAGAGCTTTGGGACACTTCCTTCTCCCCGCCAAGTGCGGGCCGTCTCCATGGCAGCGCGCACTGCACCTGGAGCTGCCAGGTGGCCAGGGCTGTGGCCTCCCCGCACACCTGCCCGCAGTGAGGCCGGAGCTGCCCAGGCGATGGAGGGGTGAGGCTGTGGGGGACGAGTTCCCCAAGGGCTTGGCAACCAACCAACCCTGGAAGCCAAGTATGTGGGCAGTCCCTTCAAGGCCTAGGATCACTGGCTGGGGTGGCAGTTGCCTTTTTCTAGATCGTGAAGAGGGTAAGTGAGCCTCCTGGGCTTCCTCTCTCCTGGGCCCCCATTGTTTCCTAAAATGGCTGAAACCTCTGTCTATGACAAGTCAGTTTGCCAAGTATTAACTGTCTGTAGCATCACCCCTACCTTTTCAACCTCCAGAGAGAGCATTTTTATAGCACTTCACAGTTTACAAAGTCCTCTAGGATCTAAGTGTGCCGATGCACGTCTAGATGGTATAAATGCCCTCTACAATTTTTTCCTATTTGCATAAAGCCATTTGGTTCTTTAAAACTACCCTGTGAAGAAGGCAGGATGGGGAGTAGAAAGTGCAGGTTTTGGAACCAGACTTTTTTGCTGTGAGGTCTTGGACGAAAGGCTTAACCTCTCTGAGCTTCATTTTCCTCTGTAAAGGAGGCTAATAATCCCACCTTACAGGGTTGCTGTGAGGAAGGGATAATGCCTGTAACCTGCCCAGCAAGGAAGGCACAGCAGGTGCTCAATACACAGTGTGATATTTTATACCCATTTTATAGAGGAGGAAGCCAAGGCTCCGAATGAAGTGACTTGCCCAAGGCTTCACAGCTATAGAATGGCTGAGCTTGAAAGATGATCCCAGGAGCCCCGGCTCCCAGGCCATTGTTCACCTGGGCTGTGCTGCCTCTCGGGACTCCAGGGCACCGTGACCCAGGCCTCCCCGGCCCTCCCTGGCTCCTTACCTGCTCCCCCAGAGCCTCCCAGGTGCCGCTGTGCAGCAGGCGCCCTGACTCCTGGCCGGGTTTCCAGGCGGGAGGGGGCGGGTCTCACTTGCAGTCTTCAGGCAGCGGGGCCAGCTGCCCTGTTTAGGTTTCCCTCTTCCCCGTCTGGTCACAGGGCACAGCCTGGAAGCTTTGATTTTCATGTTCCTCCTCTGAGTCACTCTCGGTTTTTCTCAGAGAGGGTCGAAGTCCACTCACCCTGCAGGCCCCTGCTCTGATTCCCGTTGGTCGCCTGTCATCACCGCTGATTGCCCTTGCCCTCTACGCGCTGACGGTCTTGAATGCTGAGAAGCATGTTTACCATTCAGCCCAGATAGAAGCTTCCCCACTCTAAGCCCCTACAACGAAAATACTAAGAGCTCTTGCAAAATATTAAGAAAAAGGCAAATAACCCAACAGAAGAGCAGCCAGGGGAGAGAGAGGTATTTAAACATAAGCATGAGGAGCCCGGGTTCCCAGTCAAGCTGGACTTCTGGGTCGGTCAGTCCTACTCCGAAGCCAGACTGGACTTGCTGGTGTTGTGTACAGGTTCACAACGATTTCAGATCCACTTGTTTATGACTTAAGTGAAGTTGTTTTAATCCACTTGTTTATGACAAAGAAAAAAATTGCTGTTACAGAATGAAACGAGTCACGCCAGGATGCCATTATTCTACATCTGCCTTTGGTAAGCAGTCAGCAGCCCAGCAGCTGACAGGCCCTGCAGGGGGCTTATTATTATTTTAATATGTTTTTTATTGATTTCAGAGAGAGAGGGAGATGGAAGCATCAGTGATGAGAGTTGTTGATCGGCTGCCTCTTGCATGCCCCCTACTGGGGATCGAGCCTGAAACCCCCTGGAATTGAACTGGGACCTTCTGGTTCATAGGTCGATACTCAACCACTGAGCCACACCGTCCAGGCACCAGGGGCTTATCGATAACTGCAAGTAGAGAAGCAAGTGTGGCAAGGGGACCACTAGACTATAAATACTGAGAGTTTGTAAGGACTATTGGAATTGGTGTCAGAATCTAAATAAGTGAGGATGTTCAGTTTTATTTTAACCCCAAGTGATTGAAAAAAATGTAAAAGCCCAACTATAGCGCAATTATGTGGAAAACTTCATAATCATTTAAAATGATGTTGTAGAAGATTTTTTATTGACTTGCAAAAATAGTCACAGTATACTGTATATGGAGGGGGAACAAAGTTTGTGAAATGATATATGTTGTATGAACCACATGTTGTAAAACAAAATTGACATAAAGACTGAGAGGCCATGAGGCAGATGTTTACATCGGTTGTCTCTGGGTGATGAGCTTATTGGTGGTGTCATTTTCTTTTCATCTATATTTTCTAAATTTCCATTCATAAATATGTATTACTTTTGTAATAGGAAAGTTGTCTTGAAAAGTAGGTAAATCTGAGTTTTCTGCAACCAGGAAACCTAGAATTTAAAAAGGAAGCAGGGAGGGCGTTGTAGCAAATCCATCAGGGCTTGGCAAGAGTTGATAAAATAAACCTGCGCCCTTTTTCGGGTCACTAATTAGTGAGCAAACTCAGTATCATCATGTCTCTGGCTAGTGGGGGCCAGGGAGCACTTTGCAGACAGTGGAAATTTTTCTGGGGAGATACCCAGGAGAGATAGTGAGGCATCTCAGGAATTTCAGAGTTGAGTTAATTTAGTTCCTGCTTGGAGGGTGAGGTCACCAGCCAGAAAAGCACCTCATCTAAGCAGTACCTTGGGAGCTGGCGGAGCCCAGCCAAGGTCTGCCTGGAGTGGAGGCGCAGAGTGGCTGAACCCATCTGGGGCGGAAGAGGCAGCAGAAGGCAGTAAAGGATGGGGAAGAGGCCATGACGCGTGAGGTTTGTGACAGGTGACGATCGGTGTTTAGCCAGCAGCCCCTCCAAGGGCAGGGGGCACCTCTCCCTGTGGGGCACCACATTGCCACCACTCAGAACCTTCTAGGCCTTTCCAGAGTGCAGGACACTCCCAGCAGCAACTCTCACCTGGGGAGTGTTAGATATGAGGAGCCTCAGGCCCACTCCAGACCCAATCAGTCAGAATTTGCATTTTTACAAGATCCCTAAGGAGACTCAGACACACATTAAAATGTGAAGAACATTGATTTAGGAGAAACACCCCCTATGCACGCTCCTTGACTCATCCTGATTACATCTGTCCTCAGATTCACGGTGACCTCCCGAGGACCTGGCGCCAGGATGAGGAGATGCCAGGCAGGCTGGTGAATTCCAATCTGGTCGTGGGCACCTCCTGCTTCTGCTTTATGTGTGATCTTTGGTGAGTCATTTTCCTTCTTTGCAGAAGTAATCTCCAGGCTGCCTATTTTACAGTGTTCTTTTATTGGAAGACTCAGGTGAAGTTATGGTTGTGAAAGTATTAAAATAGAGAGCATTGTATACATATGGGCTTGTATTGTTAAATTCTGCCCTTTTAACTAGAAGTGTCAGAAAGAAAGGTAGACATCAAAACCAGATGGTCCAGCCTGGCCAGTGTGGCCCAGTTGGCTGAGCACAGTCCTGTGCACTAGGAGGTCATGGGTTCCATTCCTGGTCAGGGCACATGCCTGGGTTGTGGGCTCGATCCCCAGTCAGGGGCGGCAGGAGGCAGCCGATCAGGCAGGACTCTCTCTCATCATTGATGGTTCTAATCTCTCTCCCTCTCCCTTCCTCTTTCTGAAATCAATAAAAACATATTTAAAACAAAAACAAAATTTTAAAAAGCCACCAACTGACCTGAGTTTTATACTTATATTTCCTGTGTCAAAATGGAAGCCATTGCCCTAGCCGGTTTGGCTCAGTGGTTAGAGTGTCAGCCCACAAACTGAAGAGTCCCGGGTTCAGTTGCAGCCAAGGGCATGTACCTCGGTTGCAGGCTCAATCCCCGGCCCGTGGGGGCATGTATGGGAGGCAACCAATTGATGTGTCTCTCTCACATCAGTGTTTCTCTCTCTCTCTCCCCCTTCCACTCTCTCTGAAAAGCAATGGAAAAAATATCCTCAGGCAAGGATTAAAAAACAAAAACAAATGGAGGTCATTAATAATCACCACTCCTTTCCTTAGATATATAAATATATTTAAATGATAAATTTGTAGGCAAAGATTCGAATTTATTTAAGTATTAAATATATAATTGGCCAAAAGCTTATGCACTTTCCTGGGAAAAAGCCAACCGTCCATGAAAATTCCTTACTATGATTTTAGAAACCAGCCTCTGAAATGAAGTGCTGTTCAATGAATGAATGCATTTCAGCAGCCGTATCTTAGATGGTGAGAGTACCTGTTTAGGGCATATAACACTAACAATTTTATTTGTTAACCAAAAAACATTTCCATTTGTTAATCTATTTTCTACTTAAAATGCACAGATAAGGAATTTATACACCAAGCACACGTGTAGAGTTCAGGGAAACAACTTTATTGGTGATAGAACCCTGCTCACTCATCAGAGGCTCGCTGTGTTCTCACAGGTATGTTCCCTCTCACAGCAGCCTGTTCCCCGTCCCTGGGACTCCCTCCCAACCCACTCCCTTGGATTTTCTGACTCACTACCTGTCTTCCTTCTAGAAGAAAGGGCCAGCTGTAGCACTAATAGGTCCTCTGGGACGTTCCCTGAGACACCTGTCTACTGCTCCTGGGCATCTGGCCAGGATCTCTCTAAAGCCAAAAGTTAAAAACTGGTCTAGAAAATACACAATGTCACATTGTCTGTACATTTCTAAAGCGAACTTTGTGACATCAGGCAAAGGCAAAGGGGAAGGGAGGGAAGTAATCTGGCTTTGAGTCAGGCTGACCCAGGTTCAAATTTCAGTTCTCCCCCTTCATGCCTGTGTTTAACCTTGGGCAAAGGACTGGATGTCCCTGGGCCTCAGCCTCCTCATCTGTGAAATGGGAATAACAATAAGAATCAGAGTGAGACTAAATGTATTCAGCCATCTGTAGGTGCTCAATGAAGCAGCTTCCACGCTCACTACCCCCGTCCCTCCAGAGTGCCAAGCTCTATAACTTAAAGAATCAAAGGAGAAATGCAACAATGACTAGAGGCTTAGAAAATAAGATCTAGGGGAACAGGTGAATGTAAATATGTGGAAAAGAAGCATTTAGTCTGGACAGAGGGCAATAAATGTTGCTGGCTACCATTTATAAGCACCTACTACCTTGCTTGGCATTTAATATAGTTCTGTTCAGACCACAGAACAGCCCTGTGAGGAACGTATGATTATGGCCCCCTATAATAAATGAGGAAACGGAGATTTCATAATTTGCCCAAGATCATCCAGCTAAACGGAGAAGTGGAGATTCAGACTCAGGTTTGATGCTTTGCAGTAGCTTAAGATTCTCCTCCGGTCAGTGGAGGCAGCTCAGGGAGCTGGACTTAGAGAGGAGCAGGAGGGAGACAGGAAGGTGGCCGGCAGCCACCGGAGGGGGGCAGGCAGGGCCGGAGACAAATGCAAAACCTCTGACGGGGGACTCGGCAGAAAGGGAGTCCCCCAGCGGCAGGGGCCCTGGGCGTGGGCTTGCCTGGAGGCAGGAAACTATCTCCCTGGGGGACAGGGGCTCCTGAACACCAGGTGGGGCCTGACCTCCTGGGGGCCACACAGGGGACCTGAGCACCCTGCCCCTCCTCCCTGAGGGCGGCACACAGTGGAGCGCACGCCTCCACTTTTTCCTATATATTCTGTTATCGTTGCAGACATTCACTTTGCCTCACTCTGGCCATTCCCTAGACAGAGTTTACATAAAACTAAATAAAAATATTAAAATGTACAAATGACATTTTTTAAGTCTTAATCTCACACTCTCTCCCTTTTCTAGCTCACAGAAGCCGCTTGCTAACCCCTATAGTTCTGACAAGGTCCTTGGGGTTTTCCGCCTCTTCGAGCCATCTGGGGCGCCGGGCTAGGAGGGTACCAAGAGCTGGCAGGGCTTTGGCCCCTCTGCTAATGCTGGGTAGCAGCCAGGCTCTGGCTTTCGTGCCCTGACTCTTCACATTGCTGAGGAGCAGTGGTCGGAGCTGAGTCGCGTGTCTACCGCCTGTTTCCTGCGTGGAGCTGCACTGTTCTTTCCCACGTGGATAATTCTGAGGCGGGCAAAGCAGAGTTCTCTCCCCCTTGCTTTTTTCTCTCTTGTGGAGACATGAGAAAGGTCAGCTCAATGGACTCAGAGCCTGTGTCCTGACTCTCACAGAGACCTGCAGGTCACCATTTCAAGCCATACTTTTTTTTTGAAGGACAGTCCCAAGAGCTCACTAAAACTTGCATTTGGATTTAACTTGGATTGAGAACCTTATGTTTAGTCCATGTTTCTAGACTCTGCACCTGATTTTGAACCACTGGCCTCAAATTGACTTCTAACACTGACATGCCTTCTGAGTGAACCTAAGCAAACAACACCAGCCCCACATCGCCCTCCCCTGAAGATAACATGGAAAAACAAAGCCACACTGAGAAAGGAGGGGCCATGGTTTGATACTGTCCAGCAAATGTCTCTTGGCCTCAGAATACAGCCACTTCCCGAAGTTCCAGCCCTTGGCTGTGGTAGGCTCTGAGCAAGTGAATTCCTCTGCTGAAACTTGCACACAATAAGGAGATGGTGTCGCCAATGGCCAGGGAAGTCAGAGGTCCTGATCCATCCAGAGACAAGGTGAACAGGCAGGCTGGGGGAGGAAGTGGGAAACCAGCCGCTTAGGTCGGGAGTGCACTATCACTGAATGCAGTGTGTTTGTAAGAAACCCTCGCAATTAAAGCATGTGCTGTATGTCTCTGACCCAGACAAGAGAGGCATCACATGCTTTAGAGGAACATGCACCAGTAGGGAAGTCAGGTCCCAAGAATTCAAATATTGAGAATGGCACACAGACCAAACAGGATGGATATGACACTTGGGACCTCACTGGCAAGGACATGTTAAAAAGTTGCCTTCAGCCCTGGCCAGGTAGCTCAGTTGGTTAGGGCATCGTCCTGATATACCAAGGTTGTGGGTTCGATCACCAGTCAGGGCACATACAAGCAACCAATGAATGCATGAATAAATGGAACAATAAATCGATGTTTCTCTTTCTCTCCCTCTTTCTCTCTTAAAAAAAAAAAAAAAAAAAAAAACTTGCTCTAAGTTATCTGCCTTGAAAAAAAGCAGGGTCAGGGCAGAGGAAAACAGACAAAGATACTGATTTTCAGTTGCTGGCTTCCCAGGGTCTTGCTCCCTTTAAGACAATGGATAATGGGGGAACCTGCAGGGCAGTCTGGGGCTTCCAGCTGACCCAGTCTCCCTCCACCTGCATTTCGAAGGCTTCTCACATATCTGGCGGGCAGGGTGGCACTTCCTCAGCCTCAGGTTTATGATCAGTGAATCTAAAGAGCTGCTTCTCCCACCTCCCACAAATGTTACACCTGGGTGACTGGAGAAGGCAACTCCAGGTGAGGGTACAGCGGGGCTGTTCTCACTATGTAAGTTTAGCTTGTGTGTCCTTTGACATGAGCTCAGCTCTTTTCTCTGAGGGAGCTACCCTATCCTCCCCTGCTAGCAGCTGAATTTCTAGAAGATTACTGAAGGAGGGGTTTGGTTTGAGGGTCTCTAAACTAATACTATTCCTGTGCCTGGCAGAGCCCTGTGTCCAGGTCAGAATAGCATGGAGGCAGCAGGGTGCTGGTAGATCAGTTTTCTGGAAGGAAAAACAACATTTATTCATAGCATTTGCCAAATCCTGTGGTGTAAATACTTCCTCTATGACTGTATTAAATATCCCTGAAATACTTAACCACCAGCCATTAGGAGCTGGATCGGCACACCACTGCACCTAGAACTCCAGGGAGTGGTGTTCCCAAAAACATTGTTTTCTGGTGCTTTGAAGTATCACGACGATTTCAAAACCTTAGCTACTGAGTCAAAACCGGGCAGAGTCTTTCTGAAACTATCCTTACTTCACCTCACCCCCACCAAGAGCTGAGGCTCTCACTTCAGTCCTTGAAAAATACATTTTAAAATGGCAAATTTTTATCTCTTTTCCAGACATTTTGAGTATCAAAAGTTAAAACCTGGTGAGAAATTTCAAGTAGAAAGTATATAAGAGCTCTCAGGAACGAGTCTATACAATATGCTACAGGAGTTATGATGGCCTCTAGCCAGAGGCTGACCGGAGATTCTGTATCTGGTGTCATGTCTTAACCACCAGGGGACTGAACAGTGGCAGGAGATGCATGGCTGTGCTGAGCAATGGGAAGAAAGTTTTAAGGAAGCATTTAGGACTTCACATATCTTTAAGAAGCACTAATAGCAGGTTCCTTACCTCCAGTATCTTGGTTCCAAATCTTCACCTTGCAGTCATGTGATGAGGTAGCGATTACAGGCATCAAGGCCAACGCTCTTGGGAGAAAGACACAGGATGCAACAGTCTGGAGATGCCCCTTATACTCACATATCCTGTCCCGCGTCTGTCTTAGGTCCCACAACTGCGGAGTAATAACACAGGTTAGCTCCTACTACATATTTCTCCAGTGTCATTCATTGGTATCTACTGCCCCTCCATCCCATGACCCCCCTGTTCCCTTCACTTACCTACTTACGTAGCAACCCCTTATCTTTGTCCATGCCATCCACACAGCCACCCATCCATCCACTCAGTGATTACTTTAAGCATCAACTATGTCTCAAACAACCCGGGTTAAGGATGTGCCGGAAGGGTTGTTGCCTTCCTCATTAAAGCCTGGTTAGGGAAGTGAAACTCCAACTTCTATAGCATGAGGCAGGATGAGGTTACCTACTTTCTATGACAACTCAAGAGCTAAGCTACCTTATATGAGCCTCTTGGTATCTGGGGGTCCTGTGGGGACCCCATAGTTAGGAGCACCTCTCATAAGTACATAGAGGCACAGATCTTCTGGTTTAATGCGTAGTCATTAACACTGGTATATGAAGACTAGAGTCTAAAACAAGGGAGGCTTGCCTGGCTGGGCGTCGCTCAGCGGTTGAGCATCGACCTAGGCTCCAGGAGATCGCAGTCTGATTCCCAGTCAGGGCACAGGCCCGGGTTGTGGGCTCAATTCCCAGTCGGGGGCGTGCAGGAGGCAGCCGATCAATGACTCTCTCATCATTGACGTTTCTCTCTTCCTCCCTCCCCCTCCCTCCCTCTCTCTGAAATCAATAAAGATATTAAAAAAAGAAAACAAGGGAGGCACTTGTCAGTCCCACTCTTGCTGACACAGATCATACCGCACCCAGAGGATAAAGTTCAGGTAGAGAGCAAACTGAATTGTATCCAAAACATAAGGAAATCGCTGGACACCATGCATTCTAAGGAACCATCACAGGAGCTGGAAATGCTTAGCTTGGAGAAGCGATGCTACATCAACAGCCTGGGATTTAAAACCTTGACCCAACCCTTACTAGAGGTGTGGTCTTGTACAAGAAATTTCAACTTGCCATGTCTCTATTTCCTCATCTGTAAAATGGGAATTATAATAGTACTTAACGCAAGTGGTTGTTTTAAGGATTAAATGAGATAATACATGCAATGTGCTCAGCCCAGTGCCTAGCACGTAGGAAGTGCTTGATAAAATAGGAGCTGTAATTGTTCTATTTGGATACTAGTTAACCCTTTAACTGATATTCTACAGTTAGGAATCCAAGGTACTTTGGAGGAGCCTATCCTAAAATTAGTTGCAAGGAAAGCTATATGGTTAAGGGATGGGATGGGCCCTTGACTGACACTGGGGCTCCAAACTTCCTAAAGATCTTGAAGCTCCTTTACTGTGACCACCTGTACAATGAGAAACACTTGGTTCTTCAAAATACTCCTTCCCCTTTCTAAGCTCTGCTGGGAAGACTGACCAGCAGGCTGGTTCCAGGAGATCGCCTTCCTATCTTGACGTTCACTCCATTGCTCTTTCCTAGGCCAATTCAGAAAGCCCTGGGCTAATGGGCGCTTCTTGAAAGAAGCACGTGGAATGCAAAGGGTCACTTACAGTCTGCGCTCGGAATAGGCTTGAGCCATTAGCAGACCGCTGCATAGCCCAGTGCGGGCATGAGGCCAGAGTAAGTCATTTGCTCATCAGGACCTGGCGCCTGGGCCCCACATGCCCCTCACCGTGGCCTCACAGCCTTCTCCTCCAAAGCCGTTGCTGCAGGAGATACACCTGTGCCCATCCTCGCTGACCTCGCAGTACGTCTGAATATGTTGCTTTGTAGGAAATATATGAGCCACCTGCAGCCCCCGACTGTCCCATAACCTGAAAGAAATTATAGCAAAAATGAGTTTGTAGTAAGTGCGTCTGAAATACATCTGTAATCAGCTGTGAACATAAGAGTCTTGGCTCTTTGCTGCTTCAGCCAGTCAGAATGGAGTCATGACACCGAAAAGTAGCAGCCTGAGCCAGATCAACCTCAGAGACTCCAAGCTGGCAGGAAGTAACGAAATGACATCTGAGTTCTTTCTATTTTGAGATCTAGTTCATAGAAATTTAGACCAAGTACCTTAATTGTACAAGTTAATTTGTTAATTTGGTCTTGGGGGATACTACTTTCAACAGACAAGGGGATATTTCTGTGCCTGTGATTTAAATTTTTTTTTTTAATATATTTTTATTGATTTCAGAGAGAGGAAGGGAGAGGGAGAGAGATAGAAACATCAATGATGAGAGTCATTGATCCGCTGCCTCCTGCACGCCCCCTGCTGGGGATCGAGCCCGAAACCCCAGGTATGTGCCTGAGGGGGAATTGAACTGTGATCTCCTGAATCATAGTTCAATGCTCAACCACTAAGCCACACCAGCTGGGCTAAATTTTATTTTAAAAGCTACTTAAGAACAATCATCTTTCCAGATTCAGAAACAAAAGATTTACAGGCTTGGTCAACCTGGGCCATGGGGTTCACTGGGGAGTATTTTATTTTACCTCTTGTCTCATTACTACCATTTTCTGAGTAGAATCTCTTCTGAAATCCAAAGTTTCTAGTCATGCTCTCTAGTCTAGGAACAGTTTACTTCATTTGACTCCCCTGGTGGTGATTCTGACCCTGCTTTCCCCAGGAGGGCTTCACCTGAGGGCTGGGTGATTGAGAATCTTAGGTACCGAGCAGGGGGAGCAAGTAGAGCCGGGCAGTTTGAAGGGGTGGAAGGAGCAAGTGACTGGTCGTGAGTTAACCTGCACGTTCCCACAGCTCATACGGCCAGGCTGGCAGAATCAGCTGCTTTGAAACCAGTCAGAACAGGGGTTTTTCCTGGCCTGACTGGCATTTACCCTCTATCCAGACGACTCCGTGGGGCCAGATCAGAGAGGCCCCAGCACCAGCGAGGGGCAGAGGGGCAGAGGCCCTGGGAAGGGCACAGCAATGTAGAAGAGCAGAGTGGGAACGGACTGGTGTAAGCATGGAAGCCACAAACCTTCACCAGAAACACCTTCACTGCTGCTCAGTGAGCCCACCTGATGGTTTTATCTTCAGAAGTCTGTAGTACATATGGTTCTCTGGGGACCCAACATAGGTGGGTGACCTGGAAGAAGCATAATTTTCAAAATGTCTCTATACCAAGTCATTCCTCTGCTGGAATTCCTGTAAACTGTGCTAAGTAGCATCTCTGCACCACTTCTCAAGGATGCTGAACTAGGAAATTTGACGTGGAGGAAGGGATTTCATGTCTTGCAGATACCCACCAGTCCCGCTCTCCTTGCATCTCCTAGGTTATCAGCACCAGTGGTAGCAGCTGGCCAGCTGAGTACCCACATGCATGCAGCATTCAAAATGCCTCAACCCCCAGCACATGGGACAGAACTGCCAGCCCGTGGCAGCCAGGCGAGCAGCCCCTGTTCTAAAGCGGGGCCACTGAAACCCTGGCCTAGGTCCCAGAGGGTTCAGGAAGTGTCCTCTCTCTTTATCCCTGCAGCCCATGGTGGACAGGCATGAAAGACATTTCACAACGACCCAAGGTAACAGAATTTCCTTTTTTTCTAGAAACCTCCACAAATACGAAAACATAGGGCAAGCACATCTTGCCATTGACCGTTGTCTTCAAAACTGGAAAAGGTAACTGCAATTGACATTTGATGACCACTAAAGGAACATCTACCATGTCGGGTGATAGAATTCTCCCCGTTTTATAAATGAAGACGCTGAGACGCTAAGTAAGTTTCTTGGAATAACACAGCTATGAAGTGCTGGATTGATGGTGTGAACCCAGGTATGGCTGACCCCAAAGGCTGTTTATATACCAGTCTTCTGCCAGAAAACACTGGTATCCATAAACAGAGCAAATTACACAGAAAGCAAAGTAATACTTATTTCTCTGCATAATGTCACATACACCGAACACAGAGCAGAAGCTGTGAGCCCCTGGAGAACAGAGACTGTCCTCAGTCACTAACCCTGTTCTAAACACAGTGTGTGGCCCACAGAAGAAATAAAATGACTGTGTTTTGAAGGAATAAGTGAGGACACCATTTTAGATTCCAATATAAACTAGTGGAATTGTTCTCTGGGGCAGAAACCCTTGAGAGATGATCTACTCCAATGACCCTGAGAGGCTGGGGTTTGACAGAGTTAGGGGTGAGCAGTAATGAGGACCCAAGCCCCGAATGGCTGGTTGTGGGTCCCCTATTCTGTCACCCAGGCCCTTTTCCTCACCCCACCCTCCCTTCTGCTGCTTGCTCCATTGCAGTCTGAGTTCATACCAGGTTCCTGGAGACTGAGGCTCTCTCCACACACTGTCCAGTCCCCACATCCCACAGAAGGAGGGTGTTGTCCCGAGAGCCCGTGCACAGCTGTGACGAGTCTGTGGAAACAATGGCAAGAAGATGGTCCATGAGACAGACTTGGAACAGGGCTTTCCAGAAAGTACAGAGGCACTGGGAAGAGCTCTGCTTTATTTACCTGGACTCACAGCCAACCCGGTGACCACCATGGCGTGGCCCGAGAACTGCTGCCGTGGTTGTGAGGAGCTGTGCAAGTCCCACATCAGGACCATCCTGTCCCGGGAGGCACTGAAGAACTGGTTTGATTGGTGGATACAGGCTATCTGCTCAAGAAAGAAAGCTCTGGTGTGCTTGTTTGATTGGACTTTAAAGTTGGAAAGAGACCTGGGGATAAGTGTGTTAGAGCTTGATGTCCCCTNACTTTAAAGTTGGAAAGAGACCTGGGGATAAGTGTGTTAGAGCTTGATGTTCTCTCTCAGTCTGGTTCAAAATGCACGGTATCTGGCAGGTAAACATCTGATTCTGTGCCATGGGATTGTGGCTGATGCTGAGTTCCATTATGATAGTTAGCATCCTGATTTCTGGTCCATTTAGGTGGACTTCTGAGTGGGGAGTTAAAGAAATTGGCATTCTATATCATTTTTTGCTGTAAACTCACTCTACTCTGTAAAGCTATTTAACAAATTAATTTTTATTTAACTATTGTCGTCTTTTTAAAAATTTCCCCAACTAGACTAGAAGATTCCTAAGCCTAGAGATTGTCATTTTTTAACTATAACAAATACACAGTAAAGCTTCAAGGCATGGCCCTGTTGAGTTAGGATTGGTCAGGGAGAGTTACTCTCTGTTTACCACCTGAGCTATTAAGGGCTTAATAACAAAAGAAAAATTATGCTGCATGTACCTGTACCAAGGGCCACATGAATGGTTTGCACTGCTTTTCCGGGGGCTGGACGCCACAGCGTCGAATATAAATGCATTTTCCTTTAAGGCTGGTATCCAACCACCCCCCACCTAGAGCTGTGTGGCACCCCTTCATTCAGTTTCACATTCCCTCCATGAGAGTCATCTGACGGTTTTACCTTGGTGATTTCACGTTCATGTCCCCGGAACCTTTTCACCACGTTTCCAGTTTTCCAGTTATAGGCCACGACTGTCTGCAGAGAGTCGTTTGGATATTTTAGTTTAACTGAAACAACAGCCTTTACTTCACCCTCTACCTAATTCTCCCTCTCTGTCAAGGGACTTGCATCAAGCACTAGGGTTCTATTGTGTCCCTCCTCACAGCCCCCTACTTTGAGTTTCTGTCTTTCCTCCTGATCGGTCCTGTCTGCCCCCAGCTCCTGGGCTGCCCCTCTGAGCCTTACTGATGGGTTTGGGATAACACACCCTAAGGGGAATTGATTCAGGCTGAGGTTCTGGTTGTGGATGCTGAAGGAGAATTCCACATGCAATTCGATTTTCCCCCTAACTGTATTATATTTTTATTTTAGTTTTTTAAATGTATCATCTTCTTAATCATTTGTAGGTTCATTAGTATTAAGTATTTTCCCATTATTGTGAAACAAACTGTCCCTTTTTTAATTTCAAAAAACCTCATTCATATCCCACCTGCCAGAGAGACTCATTGTTAAAATTTTCTCTCCATCTTTTTTCCAAGTATATACTTTAATATTTTGTTGTAAGCATTTCTCCCCCTAAACAGGATTTCAAAAGCATTCTCTGGCCCAGTCCCTGTAGTTCATGGCTAGAGAGTAAGGAGCATGTCAGCACTTGACCTAAATCCCAGTTTTGTAATCTGCAAAATGGAGATGTTAATCCTTGCCCTTCTACCCCCCACACGTGAGGCTCATATAAATAAAATTTCACATGTCCAAGATGATATAAGCTTTAAGATAATATACTACCTATTAAATTATGCTTTATTATCAATTTTCAAGTGCATACTGATTTCAGAGGTGTTAAAATGTGAAAACGTGTGTATCTGAAAGTCTGAGAAATACAGCATGGAATGGAATTTGAAGATTCTAAAAGGCTATTGAAAATGAGAAGCATTATTTACCACAAAAGAATCAACATTTTTGCTACCAATATCCTAGCCATAAGTGCTATGATAGATCCAAGTAGGGGGAGAGAAAGCAACCAGATTCAAAGTGACAGTGGGAGGAAGCACAATNTTCCAAGTATATACTTTAATATTTTGTTGTAAGCATTTCTCCCCCTAAACAGGATTTCAAAAGCATTCTCTGGCCCAGTCCCTGTAGTTCATGGCTAGAGAGTAAGGAGCATGTCAGCACTTGACCTAAATCCCAGTTTTGTAATCTGCAAAATGGAGATGTTAATCCTTGCCCTTCTACCCCCCACACGTGAGGCTCATATAAATAAAATTTCACATGTCCAAGATGATATAAGCTTTAAGATAATATACTACCTATTAAATTATGCTTTATTATCAATTTTCAAGTGCATACTGATTTCAGAGGTGTTAAAATGTGAAAACGTGTGTATCTGAAAGTCTGAGAAATACAGCATGGAATGGAATTTGAAGATTCTAAAAGGCTATTGAAAATGAGAAGCATTATTTACCACAAAAGAATCAACATTTTTGCTACCAATATCCTAGCCATAAGTGCTATGATAGATCCAAGTAGGGGGAGAGAAAGCAACCAGATTCAAAGTGACAGTGGGAGGAAGCACAATACACACAACGTGGAGACTTGGGCAAAAGAGCAACATAAAAGAAGAGACTAGACGCTTCTTTTTGCTGACAAGTAACTCCTGTGTCTGTGTGTAGTGTGAAAATGGATTGGCTGGAATAATGACACTTAACATTTATAAGGAGCATGTGGCTGGTATGGTGCTAAGGATCTGACCATTTAATCCTCACAACTGTCCTGTGAGGTTGGCATTTTTATCCCCATTTAGTAGATAAAGAGACTGATGCTCGAGAAAATTAAAAGACTTGCTCAAAGTAATAGGAAGTGGCAGAGAAGGGATTTAAACCCAGTCTTTCTAATTCCAAAAGTACATTTTTACACTCCCCGGCACTGCTGCCGAAATGAAAAACCAGAGCTGGTTCCCAAACATCCCCCCTTCTCGGCACTAACTCAGTTCCCTGGGAAGCACTGCAAATCCCACCTTATCTTTTCCTCCGGAGACACAAAGGTCTGAGTTCAGAGCAGCAACAACAGAGACGGTATCCGCGTGAGCTGGGCTATACTCGTGACAAGCCGCAGTTTGAATTCTCTCGTCCGTAACTGCATCGGGCCTGCCCAGGAGAGGACAGCGAATGAGAGACCCCGTGACACGGGCGAGCACGTGGAGCGAGGGGACAGAGAGTGTGAGCGAAGGTGGCATTCCGGCCAGGCGGGGGGAGGAAGGTGGGAAGGAGGGCCACTGGCGCGGCCACGGCGGTGGCATTAACACTGCACATGCTCAGAAGACTGAATCTGATAAAGGGGAATCCTGAGGCCAAGAATCCAGGAGTCATTACTCTCTCTAGAGAGTATTCCAAAGATGTAAGGCGCCTTTCTGTGTGGCTGCAGGCACTGGCTACCAAGCTGTTTCTTAACCAAAAGAAAACAGAACAAACCGATAGTTCAGGGAAGGTCGTCTGTACTTGCTCTGGGCCTTCCCTTTCTTTNATAAAGGGGAATCCTGAGGCCAAGAATCCAGGAGTCATTACTCTCTCTAGGGAGTATTCCAAAGATGTAGGGCATCTTTCTGTGTGGCTGCAGGCACTGGCTACCAAGCTGTTTCTTAACCAAAAGAAAACAGAACAAACCGATAGTTCAGGGAAGGTCGTCTGTACTTGCTCTGGGCCTTCCCTTTCTTTGGTGGAGAAGTCTAATGGGCATGGTAAAACTTGGGATCCCAGGGCAGGACTGTTGTACCTGTATCTGTAAGTGCTTTGTTTGAGTTTGCTTTGCAGTGTCCCCATCATGGCCCAGGACCTACACAAAGTCTTCTGAGGAGGAGCCCGTTTCAGATGGCACCTGAGGAGCAGCATCCCTTGTGGCCGCTGGAAGCAGTGTTCCCTGTTCAGTAAAAAGAACACATTGTTAGGCACAATGATGATAGCATGATGTGGAGGTTCAGAACGAGCCACCCCAAGATGTGCTTCTATGGTATGTGGATTGTTTTGAGCTAAAGGAAATTTTAGCTTTAGGCTCAAGAAAAATTTTTGCACCCCCCCCAAACTACCTACAACTTGAATTAGAAGCCTTGCCCATAATAGGGTATTATCAGCAATAACCTTTTTGACCCACTTATATGTCAGGGCGAACTTTTCTTTACTATACATCTGCTCTTCTTATCACCCTGCAATGACCCTTTGAAGCCCCCAAGGTGTATTACCTCACCTCTAGCTCAGGATGTCTTATATACCTGGTCCCCCTTTCTATCTCTGAACCTCTTGTGAATGTGGGGTCTCTGACTCTCTCATGTATGCAGGTTCCCATAAATATGTATGTATTACACCTGTTTATTTTCTCTTACTAATCTGCATCATGTCTATTTGATTATGAGACCAACTAGAAGAACGTTGAGAGTAGAGGAAAGTTTGTTTCTCCCCCAGAATGGTCATGTAAAAACATATCCTCTTTTTGAAAAAGACTAATTAATTGTATGCTTCTGCTTTTCCTCCTTTCCCTGCCTCACTCATTGCCCTGGAAAGAAACCCTACAATAAAGCATTAACAGACAAAAACAAAACTAATGCGAAAGCTCTTTGGCATTCCCAGTAATTTTTAAGAATGAAAGGGAGCCTGAGGCCAAAAAGTTTGAGAACCACTGCCTGGATGGTGTGGCTCAGTGGTTGAGTGTCGATCCATGAACCAGGAGGTCACAGTTGGACGCCCCATCTGGGCACATGTTCAGGTTGTGGGCTTGATCCCAAGTAGGGGGCGTGCAGGAGGCAGCTGATCGGTGATGTTTCTCTCTCATTGATGTTTTTATTTCTCTATCCCTCTCCCTTCTTCTCTCTCTAAAAATCAATAAAAACATTTTTTTTTAAAGTTTGAGAACCACTGACCTAGAACTTAAATAATGTCAATAATGGATGATAAACTATATTAGAATAAAAAATTACAAAATGTTTTCCAGATTTACTTGTAAGGTCCCCAACAACTAACAAGGCTAGAACTAAAGAGAAAGAGGCTCATTNTTACTTGTAAGGTCCCCAACAACTAACAAGGCTAGAACTAAAGAGAAAGACAGAGGCTCATCCATACACTCATTCAGGAATCACCTCCTAAGCACCTAGTTTGTGTAGGTCCTATACGGTTAAACAGAGAGAAACGAGAAGATGTGGCCACTGTGGACATCTGTTGGGACATCTGTTGTGACTAGGGGTTAATCTCAGCTACTCTGCTGTCCTCTGCAACTAGTTGTTCCCTGAGACACCAGAGGGTAAAGAGAAGTAACTGGGGAGGTGGGAGTCCCCAGGCCCCATCTCTTCTGGGGTTCTGCTTTAAGAAGTTCTAGGAGATGAGTTCCTTATGGACACAACAAGCCTAGTTCTAGGAAGAGGAGTCTACATGGAGACAGCAGCTAAAACATACCAAGTATTCTCAACCATCTCATTATCATTAACAAATAGAGTTTTCCAGAAGAATTTTAGCCTACATTTTGAGAAGCTGCCAGAATTGACCTCCTGAAAAGTGTTGGTAACCTGTATAGAAACACAATGCAGTCGAAAGAACAGTGTGTGTGGCATTAAGAGCCCTGGGCTCCAGCCCCAGCTCTGCCTCCTCTCACTGTGTGTCCTTGGGTTCCTCCATTCCCCACTCTACTCCTCAGCCTCGCCATCTATAAAATGTGACATCCGATTAAATGAGTTTTAGAAGACTATGTGCTCCCTAAGAGGAAGGACTCTGTCTGATTCATCTTTGTACCTTAAGTGGCTTACATAGTGTGATAAAACATTTGTGAAGTAGTGAATAGAAGGCCCCTTCCAGTTCAGACATTCTAGAGTTTATAATAAACAGGAGATATGCTGACAGGAAAAATTCCAGCATAGCTTGCAAAAAGCTTGGGATGTTGTATTGTTTGTAGACTGATGGAGGTTGCAGGGTGTCCTATCTGCAAGCCTAACCCATTTTTCAACATTGTCATCCAACTAAGGACAGATGCCATTCACAGATCTAGGTCACTGGAAACTGCAGGTGCTATAAATGGACTGGCTCTGCTTAAAACTGATTAGATTCTTAGCTGGTATCTTCCAGAGAGCCATACTTCCCACCTGAAGAGTATTCATGGAACATTCTAGGGAAAAAGACAACTTTTAGAATTACTTACCCTAAACCAATAAGATCTTCTTGGTGAACTGCAGTATTCAATGCTTTGTAATGTTTATCCTTTGGAAAATACTTCAGGCAGCCACTTCCTAATCTCTGTAATCAGTGAAAAGATGCTTAAATTAATCTCTTCTCTGTCTAAGCATATGTTTGCACTGAAAGGATATTTATGAGGTAAATTAAGGACCTTGTTAATTAAAGAGATTGTTAGGTATAGTTTTCCCTCACAAAGAGATCTTACAAAATTCCAAGATTTTTACGGAAAGTATATCATAATGTTANTTCTTGGTGAACTGCAGTATTCAATGCTTTGTAATGTTTATCCTTTGGAAAATACTTCAGGCAGCCACTTCCTAATCTCTGTAATCAGTGAAAAGATGCTTAAATTAATCTCTTCTCTGTCTAAGCATATGTTTGCACTGAAAGGATATTTATGAGGTAAATTAAGGACTTGTTAATTAAAGAGATTGTTAGGTATAGTTTTCCCTCACAAAGAGATCTTACAAATTCCAAGATTTTTACGGAAAGTATATCATAATGTTAATTATATCTCTATTTAAGTATGCAAAATAGCATATATTTAAATGCATCATTAAACATTTTCATTTTACTCATAGTACTTCTGTTCATCAAAATTTTCAGGGGTGACTGCTTACTTCAGAGTTTACTGTGTTGGTGAGAAAGGCAATTTCTCCCGTTTAAAATAATACTTTAATAAATAAGAATCACAGAACTTTAGATGAAAGAGCTTTTCAAAATCACATTAAAATCCTTTATTTAAAGATCTGGAGAATGAGGACAGAAACATTATCTACTCAAAGTTATAACTAGGTGGACCCCTTGACTTCTAGCCCAGAATTTCTGCAATAGACACCCACAAAGAAAACAGCGTTATTGCATTTCAACAACTCTATTCTAAGGATTCAAATAAATAAATTCTAACTATCGATTGACGGTATAGCTTATTCTAAGCATTAAGAGCAGCACAAAATAGTCAGAACAACATCTGACTGAGTGCATTGGCATCGTTTTTAGGGCTAGGTCTGAATATAGTTCTACTATGGCCTTGGGCAACTTGAACCTCTGGAAGTCTCAGTTTCCTATGTGTAAAATGGGATAATAACGCTATAATTGAGCTTCTGTGAAGATTAAAAATAGCACTTAAGATGTGCCAAGGGCTATTTTAAGTGCTTTATACTTATTAACTCATTTAATCTATTCCATGAGCCTCTGGAATAGTAACTCTCCTCATTTTGCAGATGAGAAAAGTGAAGCACAGAGATATTAAATAACTTGCCCAAGTTTACAAATAAGTTGCAAATAAGTGGCAGAGCTGAAACTTGAATCCAGGTAGTCTGGCTCCAGAGGCTTTGCTCTTGACTGGCATACTATACTGCACCTCTACAAAAGATAGGGCATATAAAGCTCTCAGCTCAACCTGGCAAACTGTTGATAGTAAATGATGGCTACTAACGTGATTGATAGCAATACTGAAAGTGGAAATTTCCCCTTTATTACTACTGCTCTTAATACACATATATCGAACATACATAAATATACTCTGAGAACAGATACAAATGGATATATGAGTCTGGAGGATTTTAAACTGAAGTCAATTTTGTCCTCTGACCAGAGTGGGTTGATCACACTAAGGCTAAGAATTTATTACATTATATAACAAGGCAATTTAAAATCTCAAAAACAAAGTGTATGTATTTGGATAATGTCCATGTTGTAATTTATTATGAGTTGACTAATCTAAGAAATGAAAATAGTATTCAGTTATCTTCCACTGTTTATATTGTGAACATGTAATATACTTGAGAGAAGGGACAGTGTCTTGTTCATTTAAGCATAGCCTGGAAGAATGGATGCAAGGCAACCATATCTGATGAATGAATGAATGAATGAATGAATGAATGAATGAATGAATGAATGAATGGCATACTAAGGTGAAAAGTCTGTTTGGCAAGAAGCTTTCTAAGGATCCAACAATATAAGGGTCCTTTAAAATTCCCCAACAGCAAATCTTTCAGGGAGCAGTTATCTTGCCCTATCTGATCTCAGGCCCGGAAAAGATGGCAAGAACTTAGGAAAGCCATAAACTCAGTTATGGCTCTGGATGTCCTTGTTGGTTCCTGATGGAACTGAGCCTAAATCTGAGTCCCAGGATCCATTTCTGCCCCAATTTGCTTTCCAAAGACCCTGAGATACCCAATGGTCACCCTAAACAACTCAGAGAATTCTTTTAGCTCTCTAGTGCCATAGTCCTCGATACACTGCAGCANCCCAATTTGCTTTCCAAAGACCCTGAGATACCCAATGGTCACCCTAAACATAGCTCGGAGAATTCTTTTAGCTCTCTAGTGCCATATTCCTCGACACACTGCAGCGNTGAATGAATGAATGGCATACTAAGGTGAAAAGTCTGTTTGGCAAGAAGCTTTCTAAGGATCCAACAATATAAGGGTCCTTTAAAATTCCCCAACAGCAAATCTTTCAGGGAGCAGTTATCTTGCCCTATCTGATCTCAGGCCCGGAAAAGATGGCAAGAACTTAGGAAAGCCATAAACTCAGTTATGGCTCTGGATGTCCTTGTTGGTTCCTGATGGAACTGAGCCTAAATCTGAGTCCCAGGATCCATTTCTGCCCCAATTTGCTTTCCAAAGACCCTGAGATACCCAATGGTCACCCTAAACAACTCAGAGAATTCTTTTAGCTCTCTAGTGCCATAGTCCTCGATACACTGCAGCATATATCCAATTATTATTTTCCATGAAGAAACCAGGACTCTGAGAGGGTAGAGTCTTGCTAAAGGATCACACGGGAGAACCAGACCTCATTTCCCTCAACTCTTGGTCCATTGTTTATGTAAATACTGACTTCACCACCCCCACCACCCCCACCCCCCCACACACACACCCATATCTCCCTCTGCACACATCTAGCCTACTCTCTGGGAGACCAAGGCATGTAAACTAAAGCTCAAACACAAAATCGCGGTAGAAGCACGTGGGAGTGATTCAACCCTCTAATAGTACAAACAGAGGAAACTGAGGCCCGGAGAATAAGAGGGTCTTGCCCAGACTAACGCAGGGAGTCAGCACTAGGCCGGAATCCCAAGGTTGCCCCAAGCTCTGAGGACAACCTGTGTGCAGTTTTTCCTTTCTGGCTCTTCAGATGACAAATATCCTTCGACCAGTCCATGCACATGACCAAAGCTTACTTTTGATCTGTGCTTGAGGAGAAAGGGACCTGGAGACGACCGAGATGGAAATCTAACGCCAGCCAGACCCAAGCCCGACGCTCGGACTTCTCTCGGCCAGGTGGGCGTCTGCCGTCCGGAGAGCTCGAGGGCTCCCACTTTTCCGCCCGCCCGCTGAACCCCTTCCTCCCCACCTCGGGCTCCATACCCATCGGGCCGCTGCCCAGCCGCGAGCTGAGGCCGGCAGGGGCGCCCAGCCGCGGGGCGTCTGCAACCTCCGCGTCCACCGCCTCCAGTGCCCCGCCCCTAGCAACGAGGCGCGCGTCGCTAGGGCGGGAGTTCGGACGAAAAGCCTCCGGCCCCCCTCTGCGGCTGTTAAACCGCGGTTCCGCTCGCCCGGCGTCTCCAGGGACCCGGCCGAGAGCGCCCCGCCCAGCTTTCTTACTGTAACAGAGCGCAGGTGAGGCTCCCGAGAACAGGGCAGATGTGCCCAAGGCCACGCCGCCAGAGAACCTGTATAATGCAGGGAGAGCGGGTAGCACCGTCAGAGTCACGGAGAAAACCCTTTATAAATGTCACTTTTTAAATTGTTATTCGTCCAGATAGAGGTGGTACTTTATTTCTTTGGAGTTTTCCCTGATTCCACCCAGGCAGAGATCCCTCCTTTAGACATTGTCCCAGGTCCCAAATTCCCCTACTTCTATCACTCTTTCTTTCATCAAACCTTTCCTGCCCACTACCATAGCAAAGAGATCCCTCAATACCTTCTTGAGATCCAATGGGAAGACAGTTCTGGAAACCAACAGCAGCTACAAGACAAAGTTTTTGCAGCTGCAGTCGCATTGCCTTCAAACTAGAGTCCATTCATACCTGTGTTCCTGGCACATAGCGCAGGATCTGTTGAATGTTTGTTGAGTGAATGAATGAACGAAGGAATGAACACAGAGATCCTAGCCAACGTTTCTTTTGCACCCTGGTAGGGGCCTCCTGCAGTGCTGATCTCCCAGCTGAACTGCCTTGAATGAAGATTTGTGAAATTTCTGAAAGTTAGGTGCCTGTGGAAACAGGAAATGGGGTGATAAGGGAAATTTTCCATTAGAGAATATCAAGGCTGAGAGATTGGATCTATCTTCCCCAGAGAGGAAGACCCCTCCACAGCATCCCTGCTGGGGTTCCTCTAGCCCTTGTTGACACTCCCTCGATGGTGCACTCATTCCTTTCTGAGTCAGTGGCTTGTTGTTAGACTTTCTCCTGTCAGGAGCTGGGATCCACCCTCATGCCATTTGCAACACTGATCTTAGCTCAGAGCTGAGGGCTCTCCTTACAAACGTAGTCCCTCTTCCCCATAAAGCCTGGCAACCTTCAACCAGGAGAGACTGATTGCTTTGCCCTGGGGCACCGGGCTAGGCTCAGTGCAGCACAGTTGACTTACCAGATCCCCGCCCTCAAGATGCTTCAGCTCTGGGGATGTACATTCCCCCCCGCCCAACATGCTTTAGGTTCAAGGTGCCTGAGGCTTCCAAACTGGTATCTCCAGCCAGACTTCTCCCAGACCTGTATATCCACCTGCTTCTTGCCCTTTTCCACCTGGCTACGTAAAAGACACCTCATCCTTGACGTGACTCACGCTGGAAACATTATCTTCCCCCAAAACCTGTTCTTCCTCTTTTCTTTCTGAGTTCAGGGGCACTACCATTTACCCATCAGCCATGGCAAGGCTCTAGGAGTTGTTTGTAACTTTACCCTCCCTTCCTCTTCCAGACTGAATTAGCTATCCTTCTCTGGGCTTCCAAAGCCCTCACACTCTCCCCAACAAAGTGTGATTTTTCATTTATTTGTCTCTCTCACCTGCCTGTGAGTTCCACGTAGGTAGTGACCTAGTCTCATTTACACCTGTATTTATTGCTGGTGTCTAACACAGGGTCTAGCACAGCACTGCAGTGGAACATTCTACTATGAAGGAACTGTTCTACATGTGCTCTGTCCAATATGCTAGACTCAAGCCACATGTAGCTATTGAACACCTGAAATTTGGCTAGTGC